CGTCGCGGCGGGGGTCACGCAACTGTTGTGTGACCTGTCTGAAGTGAGTTAATACATGTAAGGCCAGCTCTATTCGGACTCGAGTCCGAAAATAATTTTTTAATTTATTCGCACTCGCCGAATAAGGTTTTTTTTCTAGACTACATCTAAGTACAAGTAACAATCTAAGACAAGACAGTAAAATTATGCAAAATTACAGATTAACCTTCACATGTGACACACAGTATAGTGAAGCCTAGATCTAGATCTAATCTAGATTTAGATACAGTGGAAACCATATATAACAGGCCCGGTAATAACAGGGATCCGGTAATGGGATTTTTAAAATCCCCGTTTTTTCCTACTCTTTGTCTCTATTAAAAGTTATCGGCAATAACAGGGCCTCATCGAAGCCCTACCGGTTATAACAGGAACAAAGGCTCGTTAACAATGTGTAAAAAGTGAGAGAGAGAGAGAGAGAGAGAGAGAGAGACAGAGAGAGAGAGACAGAGAGAGAGAGAGAGAGTAACGTGGTGATGGAGCAAGCCCACGCAAGCCATGCCACTGTGACTGCGAGCACACGCAGCGTGAAGCGAGAGATCGCTGCGGTGTGCTGCAGACCTCGATCTAGCCTGAAATCTAGCAACACGAACGCGTAATGTGTCACCAACGATGTTAAGCGCAAGAGAAAATGCCTTTCAATTGACTAAAAATACTAAATAATCCAGGCTGTTGACAAAAAGCAAGCTCCACTGGCCTGGCAGAGATTTGTCGTCAGTTCGACATTCCACAAGGGTCGATTCACACCATTATCAAGGATAGAGAGAAGATAGTGGCAGCATACTCCAATGGAAAGTTTGCTCAGGATCGAAAGAAGATGAGACTATCCGATGCAGAATCTCTGGACCAAGCTCTTCAGGTGTGGTTTAAGGAGGCAAGGAGAAAGTTGGTGCCAAAACCCCTGTTCGTGGATACTAGTGGCAAGGGCAACTACCAATGAATAAGTACAGCTGGATTAGTCCACAAATGCCCACTTTCCTTGCATTTCTGATTTAACAGGGATCGAATATAACAGGACATTTTCTCTACTCCCACCATCCCTGTTATATCAGGTTTCCATTGTATAGAAATCTAGAATAGACCTATGGAAGGCCTCCCTAGGCTATACAGTCGAACCTGCCTTAACGGAAACCTGTCCAACGCGGAAATGGAAAGAAAAATCCACTCCCTTCCGAGGGTTTATTCTTTCTAAGACGAAAAATGCTTTGCTCGCTCAGCCCTGATTTGAAACAAAACTCGCAAGTTTGGTTCCACCGGCTCTAAACTTAACGCATAATATGGCCATGCCGCTGGACGAGGAAGAGGAGTAGGGGTGCAATTTTTGGGGGGTAGATGTTACCCAACATGTGAGCCCTGAGCGATGCAGAGATGCCAGATGGTCAGGGTAGTGTGGGTGTGAAGTCTCACGACTGTCCGTGAGAGTGCTCGAGTAGCGAGCCACTACGGAAACTTTTCTGGGTAGCCAGAAGCCAGAGGTATGAAATGACATCGACCAATGCCTGCCGCCCTGATCGTACGGCCAGCGGAGAAAAGAGTTCCTCGGCTCGTTGTTACAATGATGGCAGTGAGGGGTGGTATTGGTGGGTGGGACTTAAGGGTGGAAGCAAAGGAGATGTTCAAACGTTTCTGTGTCAAACAGTGGTCCTATGAAAGGCAAGCACTGGTGGTAATAGGATTTATAGTAAGACTGACGCATGATGTCATTATCAGGACAGCAATTGAGAGGTGTGAAGTTTTGACCACTGCTTGCCGATCGGACAAGCGATCCTTGATCCCACCGACTGGGCCTTCGACCCCCCCCCCCCCCCCCC